GGCTTTCTGTTCTTTCTGTTGTGTTTTTTCTTGTTTTGTTTGTTTTTTTTTAAGTCAGCTGTGAAAACGTTACAGATCTGCACAATTTTTTAGGCGTGCGTGCGTGTGTGTGATTTCTTGTTTTAGTTTTTCTTCGTCGGGCGGGAGCAGTGGTGGCTTTGCCCCGAGGGTGTTTTCTTTTTTGGGTTGGCGGTGACCGATTTGGATGACCGGCTCTCGGAAGCGCAGAGCCCTCCTCCGTGGGACGCGGGGCCGGCAGCAGCCCGGTGTCTGTAGAGTGCCTTCAAAACTCAGCTGTTCCAGCCGGTGCCAACCTGGGAAAGCTCCGCGGAGTCCCATTATCTACTACTCCAAAAACTACTTAACAGTTTCCTTGCAGCAGTCGTGCCGAACAAGCCAGGACAAAAGGGCCTATTGTTGGTGGCATTTATGTCTTATTTCCATCCTTTTAACTGTAATTTCTGTGTCTTCCCCCGATGGTTTTGTTGTGGGATGTACCTCCAGCCAGCAAAGAAGGAAATCTTATCGTTGTGATGTATCAAGAGAATTCTAACAACTGTCATTTTAATTGCAGACATGCGTTTAAGAGATGTCTATCCATTTTGAGAATTTTAATACAAATGCTGTTTTTTAGAAAACAACTTTGTGCGCTTTTATGTATTACATGAAACACCAACTTTCACATACGCTGTTCCTTGTGATTTATATTTTAATAGAAGCGAAAGGTGGGGGGGGGGGCTCGGTTTAGCTAAGAACAGTGTTTAAAAAAAGAAAGACAAACCACAGGACTGCTGTTTTGCCTAATATTTGGTAATTTTTAATACAGTTTTTCATTTGCGATTAGGTCCTGACCCTGTGTGCTGCCAGCGTGTGAGTGGAACGCTGTATTCAGTAGGCAGCTGTAGGAAGGTAGCGTGGCTTTAATGCAAAAGGCCTTGTAAGGTTAGGCCCTTATTCCTTACTGGGAACAGCATGCTTTATTAGGGTAAAATTCTAAAGGTCCATTATTTATAAAATTGCAGTTTTTAATCTCATTGCATTATAACTCTTTAAAATTATGTCTAAGACCATTATTTCTTTCCTGGTTTACAGAGGGTTTGGGGTGGGAGGACCTGCACCTTCTGACATGGGGAAGATCTAGAAGATCTAAGGAGTTTGTTTACCTCCATTATCTTCCTCTCTTAGTCCCTTCTTTAAAGATTAGCACACAAAACCTGCATTTTTGTTTAATCCCCCCTTCACATCCCAAGAAGACTTGAAATTGTCTTACCACATGAAAGCAAAAGTTGAGCAATGTGTAAAGCGGTTTTTAATCAGGCCAACTGAAAACTAAATGCCATGGTAGTTACCGTGAGTCTGAGAATTTTTTCTGTTTTAAGTAGGAAAACTTTCTGCTTCAGCACTGGAAGAACAGTGTTTAGTGTTAGTTTAATTCTGTGCATTGAAATCCAAGTGACTGAAATTAAAATAATAGTGTTGTGTTTTAGTTGAAGATTGGATACTTACTTTAGCAACATCTGATATCAGTAGAAAATTTGGAAAAGATTATATACTGAAGTATTGAGCATATCTCTTCTCCTGAGCCCAGGTGTATCCTTCAAAACATGGAGGACCTGTTCTGATACAATCAGTCGGGTTGTATCATTCTGACTGATACAATCACAGCTGAAAAGGAAGAAGGTTGGAGAAGGCAACCCCAGTGCTGGTTCCTCAGTTTCTGCTTGGGGCCTTCATGTGACAGACAAATTGATCCAGCACCCCATTTTTAAGTGAAAACTGAAAACCTGTTTGTGGTTTATCTTCCAGAAATTTATAAAAATGAAGTAGAAGCCAGCTTCTCGAGGACTTCAGTGTTAGAGGGGCAGGGAGATAATGCTTATTAATAGTAGGGGTTTTTTAACATAAATACTGCATTGGAAACTAAGAATGCTTGACTGCCACCACGTCTGCAGGTTAAAAAATTTAATGTCTGAAGTTTAAAAGAAAAAAATGCCATGAATTTTCGTATCAGCTATTGCTATGGTTCAATTTTGCCTTAAATGTAATAGAATTGTGTGGTTTTTAGCATCCAACAGGCCTTGCTCCAGATCAGTGTATTGAGAGCAACTTGTTCCACTTAATAAAAGCAGATATTTGTTTTGTTCTCCCCAACAGATAGCAGATTCTTCATGTTTTCTAGTGCCTCCTGTTTCCCTACTGCCGGGCTGTGATTGAGGAACAATGCGAAAATGGGTGTTTGTAGCACACAACGGCACATAAAGTCCAGCTTTTCTCAGCCTAGCAGAGCAGCTGAAGGCAGCCTAGTAAATTCTGGATTATGCTGGGCTGTTTTGTAGATACACTCTGGTTCTTGCCCAAAAGGTGTGTTTGTTAAACAGTGATTTAAGAAACCATGGCATGGGTCTAATCAGAGTTTTGAATGTATTTAGGTGTTTAATGTTCTCTGTGACTTGGTGAGGACAGTACAAAAAGCAGAGCTCAGGAGACTGTTCTTCCAAATACTCCGAAGTGTTTTGGTGCTTGTTAAACATAGGCCTTGTCTATAAAGTAGAAAAAAGTCATACTGCTTTTACTTGACTGAATGATGAAAGCTATATTAGCTTCTACACTTGAGGAAAATGTTGTATCAATGTAAAGGTACGCTTTTATTCCTTTTCCCTGTGGGAATTTGTTATACCCGTGTCAATACAAAGATGGTATATAGCTCTTTTCACAGTGAGAATTGCAAATATTTAATTGATTTGGGAAAAAAAAATTACATTCCCAGCACAAATACTTCCTGACAGTGCAGAAGTTGTGTAAACAAGGCCTTAGTTTAAGGCTGGTCTTATGGCCACATATTTTGCTGTACATAATTATTGTATTTTTTTAAAATCCAAGCTTGTTCTATTGCAAGAAAGCGTGTCTTTGAAATCCTAGTCTCTGTGACTGTAACCGTGCAGTGTTCTCGACCTCATTTTGAATACAAGTGTGGTTCTTCTCAAGACAATGCTCAGGCTTTATTGATGCTTATGGTTCTGGAGATGATGTTGAATTCTGTGGCTGTGGAATTCCTGATGGTTCTGCTTCTCTCAAAAGAATGTATGGCAACTTTTTTGCAAAGGGCATTTTAAATAAAGGGCAGCTGGCTCTTTATGACTTCCTCATTTGGATACTCATTGCGTGCAGGTGTTGTTAAGTGTCGGATTTCCTCGAGGAGTGACAAAATGCAGAAACTTCCATTTTCTTTAAGAATTTTGTGTGAAAAGGAGTGGCGTGTGTGTTCTCTTGACTCTTCTCCCATTCGAATTAACGGACAACTCCCATGACCATAAACGGAAAGTGGTTGGAGCTCTCCTGCTGTTAGACGCTCTCTTACTCTCCAGGTTTGTACAGCAGGCAACCTAGACGCTCTGCTTGAAGGACCTTCACTGTATCTTTGGGAACTATTATTTGGAGTGCCCACGCACGTTCTGGTGAGATTTGAGGCTTGCTGTACAAGCAGGTATGCGTATCAAATCTGTTCAAAGCTGAAATAGTCTCAAATAATGATCTTTGTAGCTTATAGACTGCTCCTACAGTGCTTATAGCCTCCTGCAAAATGTGGATGTTAAAAAGTCCAGTCGTGCTGTTACAGCATGACGCTCTAGGATCTCATTTTTGGGGGCATCCAGCATCTACCCAGCTCCTAAAGCTTTTTATTTGGGCCTGACAAGCTTTGGTCAACATGTACATAGCAGATGAGAGTGATTCAATAGCAGAGTTTTAGTTCGAACAGCTAAAGATATTCAAGTGAGTTATAGTGATGTGAAATGGAGTGGAAGTGTGTTGCTGGGGATGGGTACGTTGGGTTTGGGGTTTTTTGTTGGTTTTTTTTTTTTTTGTTTAATTTGAGTAGACTAAGGGTTTGTTATTCTGTAATCAAGAATGTCACTGAACTTCCCGAGTAAGAGTCACTCTGTGTGTGTGTGTGTATGGTGACTTCACTGGGGTTGGAATCGAAAACCTTGCCCTTACCACAGATGATCTCAACCTCTGTGATCTCAGTTGTGCATGTAGTCAGTATGCTGAAGAAAACGCCCAATGAAACCTGAACTGGCCGACCGATAATGGATTAGAGCAGAGGGAGTTATGTGCAGAAAGCTTAAGAACAGACGTTAAAATTTCCCTATAGCTATTTCAAATTTTTTGAAGCTCTGCTACGTGTCAGGTGCTGCTTTAATACTGTTGATGCTAGAGCGTAGTGATTCAGTAGATGACATATTGCGCATAAAGCAAATACTGCACATAAATAGTTGATCTGCAATATCTAACAAGGTCTTAGGTCCTGTGTAAACCACTATAAAATTAGAAGTCAGTTAACCAGAACTTGTAAGTTGTTCAAATAAGTCTTAAAATATTGGAAGCAGCTGTTCTGTAATGACTTTATTTTATTTTGGCAATATCTGGGTCTTGTGGAGGTTTGGCAAAGAGGAGACTTTGATCAAGAATCCATAGCTTTGTTTTGGTAATCCTCAACAGAGAGATATTTTTAGAAAAGTGGTGTCTGACAAGTAGCTTCAGCTGTAATGATTTAAAACCCATTTATTTCTACAAAGTTCTTTAAGGGAACATTATGAAAAGTGCATAGTTAATAGATCTGATGCCCAGGTAACAGACAGATCCCAGAGGTTTCTCCTCTGCTTGGTTGACTGATTACGATTGTGCAAGAAATGCTGCAGCCACTACACTGATCAGAGTGACATTGCTAAATTTCTTGCCTTTTGAT